TCTGGACCCCCCGGAGTGCGGGAGTTGGTGGGTCAGCGCCAAGGGGGTGCAGAGGATGAGTCGCCCCCACCCCAGGTGGACCCACGGGCACGGCGCTCCCCCGACCCGGAATTAGCTGCCCCTCCCCCTTCTCCTCGGAGCCCTCCTCCCACGCTGCTCGTGGGGGCGCCCCGACCCTGGGGGAGGACTCCCCAAGCTGGGCAGGCAAAGCCCCCAGAGAGAGGGCCGGGTGTGGTCCCCGCTCTCACCCTGAGGACGCAGCCCTCCTGCAGGGCCCGCCTTGGGTCAGAGTCCACGCTCCGGCCCGTGCTCCGGGCGGCCGCTTCCCAGCCCCAGCCAGTCGCTCCCCAGCAGGCCTCCCGGTCCAGGCCGGAGCTGGGCACACGGAGCTGGGCACACACTCGGGGCCTCTGGCCCATTCCAGCCCTGGGTATCCTTGAGGGAGATCCCGTCCAACGCAGCCCTGGGCTGGTACCCAGAAACAAGGCTCCGACAGCCCGGCCAGGCACTTTGCCTCCCTGAACCCCAGTCTCATCTCTGAATTGGGGAGGGAGAGCCCCTACCCTGCAGTGTTGCCCGGAAGACTGAGCTTCGCTGGCTCCTGTATACATTCCTGTTATGAGAGTGAAGTCGCTGGGCCAGGGGTCCGAGGAGAGGGAATGTTTTGCTGACAAACTCGGGGAGCCAGGCCTTGAGCAATGAATCACCACCGGCCGAACAGCCGCTGGCACGGACCCGGCCCCTGCCAACCCCGTGCTTCCCTGGCCACACGGGCTTGAATCCTCCCAACATCCCCTTGAGTTACCTGCTCTTATTCCTCCCATTTCACAGATGAGGAAACGGAGGCTCAGAGAGGTACATGGCTTGCCCTAAGGCCTCGCAGCCAGTAAGTGGTGGAACCGGGATTCACACTTGAACCTGAGATGCTGTATTGACCATGGCCTCCTCCAGAGCAGGATTGTGACGGGGCTGACCAGGGGACCATGGTCCTGGCTGAGGGCACTGCTCAGGCCAAGGTGGGAAAATTGGGGGAGGGGGGGTGCGTCTGGGAACTGGAGTGCTCTAGAGTGTCTGGAGCAAGGGGCATCTGAAGGAAAGGATAGTGAGGGAGGAGGCTCAGCGCAGAGGCCATTCAGGGCCTGGAATGCCAGGGGCGACTGGACTGATGGGGGCGACCCTGGAATTCTGGGCTCCCACCTTTTGCTCTAATGGGCTCTGAGTCGAAAGACAGGCCACTCTTCCCTTCTGATGGCCTCCGTTTCCTGATCTGTACCTGGTGAGAGTCCCTGGGCCTCCCTGGCTGGCTCTGAGGGCCGGCCTGGGAGAAACCCCGAAACCTGAAACCCGGCCCCAGAGGCTGGCGGGGGTGGGGGGTCGGAGGGGGCGTGGCAGATCGAGGGCCGGGTTAGGTGGTGGGCGGAGTCAGGGCTTAGCCAATCAGGAGCATCGTGTGTGTGTGTTTGGCCGGAGGTTCTCTGGCTATTCCTGGTGGCGGTGTAGGAGTAAACAGCAGCTAGGTCAGGGGGCGGAGATGGTGGCGGGAGCTGGGAGGCCGTGGCAGGGAGGCCGGAGCTGGGGATCCCCGAGCCCCCAGCTTCTCCCTTTGCACTCTGCTAACCTCAGAGCCGTCTGGACTTGAATCAGCTGGAGGCGGCTGGACACAAGTACTTGTTTCCGTTTGACAGGTGGGGACATTGAGATCTGGGTCCTGCAAGGAGGGGCTGGGTGCCGGTGGGGGAGCGAGGAGCAGACCTGGGCGTGTTCCCTCGCAGCAGAGGCCTCTGAGGCGGGGGCAGGAAGCAAGGGCTGCCCAAGGGTGCCTTGTCCCCTGAGGATCCCACACACCCTCAGGGTGGGGCAGTGATTGTCGCCATTTGACAGATGAGTCTGTGTCCTTAACCCCTAAGATCTTCCCGTTAATGAATGAAATCATTCAGCCATCCTCTGGCACCCATCTCAGGGCTCTGGCGGCACCGCAGCGGATGTGAGTGCGGATCTGTGAGAGCTCTCAGCCTACTGGGGAGGTGACACTAGGGGAAGTTCCGGGCCCATCTTGGGCTTGGAGGATGAGTGGGCGTGAGCAGGGTGCTGGCGGGTGTTGCAGACAGTTTATGCAGGACCTGGAAGGGTGCGGGTGCAGAGGAGTTTGGGACCCACAAGAGATGTTGCTTTATTCCAAGGCCCCGGGACCTGAAGCAGGGTTTAGAGTAGGGGTTTCTGCTGGATGGGGGGCAGGCCCCCAGCATGGGAGCCAGCTGCCTAGGAGAGCCAGGGTAAGGAGAGGACCCTGCTGAGAGGGCAGCGTAGAAGGGAGGAACAGGCAGGGAGAGAGGCGGGGTTCTGCCACCACGCGGCCCTGTGACCTCAAGCAGTTTCTGCCCTTTTTGGGCTGTAGTGTCTCCATCTGCAAATGGATACAGCCCTGAGTCTTGAAGTCATGGGGAGATAGGAGAGCTGGCAGGGGTGGTAGGGAAGGTGCAGCCTTTGACCAGCTGGACCTCCGGGAGGGCACTCAGGGCCATAACCCTTTTCTTGGTGACTCGCAGGTGTGAGGCCCACATCCCTGCCCCCTGGCCACGTGCTCCCTTTTCTCGCTCCTGCCCCTCAGCAGACGCCGGAGAGAGATGA